TCGCAGCTTTTCATTTGGTCCCCAAGGCAACTCTGCTGCATGGCCTGGAGCAAGAGGTTCCCCGCATCACCAGCTGGAACCGGGTGTGGGCTGTGCAGCTCAGACCTCCTCTTGCCAGGAGGCCCCTGGGCCCGCCCTGCAGGCAAAGACAGGATTGCAGAAGCACCCCACCACCACCCCTACCCCAGGTCCAGCAAGAGGTGGCAGACCCAACACCCAGCAGAAGCAAGCAGACTACCTGTGTGTGGGGCCACCCTCGAGCCATCTTCCTCACCCTGTCGATGCCTGGGCCTTCTGAGAATGGGGGTGAATGTGTCAGGATCTTGCTGTGACGGCCTGAGTAGCCCTGTCCCACACCACCCACCCACCAGGCAGCTGGCCCAGGCCAGCTTCCAAACCACCAGTCTGATCCAGAAGCAGGAGAGCCCCCTCCCCCACCCTGCAGGCTAGGCTGCTCCTCTGCCCCGATCTGCCTGCTTTCCCCGGCCACCCACCTCCAACTGCACAGTCTCACCTCGCCCATCAGACTCTCCCACCCAGCTCAGAGCTGAGCGCATACACCTTGTGAGGGTCGGCGGGGTTCCACGAGTTGTCCTGGAGCATCACAAACTGCCGCGTGCTGCGCAGCGCACAGCGGAAGTTGGTTTTCCAGCCTGCGCGCTCCGCAGCCTCGGGGGCCGGCTGGTCACCTCTGCTGCTGCTGGGTGGCCACCTGCCACGGGCCACTGCCCAAGCCTAGGGAGGAGGACCGAGAACGTGGGCCCGGGGCGGGGCCCGCAGGTCCTCCCGTGGGGGGAGGCCGGTGTCTCACCTTGAAGATGCGCGCGTCCGCCTCGCCCAGGTCTTTGCGTGCAAAGTGCTTCCAGGGCACTCGGAAGCGCGTGTGGGCCTGGTCCAGCCACTGCAGCCCCTCGTAGCGGCCGCTGCTGATCTGGTGCAGAAGCCACTCTCCAAACCGCACCCGAGGAGCCCCGCTGCAGGTGGAGGGGCCACGCAGACTTAGGGCCATGGCCCGGGGCTGCACCGCGCTTGGGGATGGGGGGGTGGTGGGCCAGCCTCTCACCTCTCAGGAGCCAAGGCCATTGCTTCCTCTAGCAGGACGGTCTGGGGAGGGTCGGGTTGTGTGGCAGGGGTGGCAGGTATTGCAACAGCTGAGGTGAGGGTTCTTTGGCACTACAGGTGTCAGGTAGTGTGCCAGGTTATCAAGTGTGACCCAGGTGTTAACAGGTGTTAGGCGTCACAGGTGTGGATTGCGGACTTGTAGCCACCAAGGTTGTCTAGACGCGGATTCCTTGCTAAAGGTGGCTGCAGGTGTGACTGCAGATGTGGCAAACACATGAAGTCACAGGTGTTGAGGCAGCGTCCTGGCCTGGACAGGCAGGTGCAGGCTGGACCCTGCAGAGACACAGCAGGAATGGCCTCGTGGAAAGGGCGCGCCCGGAGGCTCCCCGGGAAAGCGAAACCCAAACCCCGCGCGCGCGCAGTCTCGGGAAAGCGAAACCTAAACAGCCGCCGCGCGGGCGCCCGCTCGCTCGCGCCCCGAGACGCGCCCGCAGTCCCCAGCCGCTCGGACGCCGCCCCCGCCCCCCGGCCCTGTCTGGCGCGCAGGCAGCCCCGCCGTGGGCTCCAGCTCGGGCTCTCGCTCGCGTGGGTCGGGGGCCCCGAGTACCTGAACTCCGGAGCCGCCGGGACGGAACTTTCCTCTCGCCGAGCCTCCGTGGGCCGGCGCTTTTATGGTTGCCGGGCGGGGGCGGGGTGCGCAGGGGGCGGGGCCTGGGGGCTGCAGGTGCCGCGGCCTTGGTCAGGCGCCCGGCACCGCGGAGCTGGGGTCCCCCCGCCCGCTCCTCAGGCAGCGCCCCTACGCGCCAGGGGTCGGATCGCGGGCAGCCAATGGGACTGGGGGGTACATTGGGATGAGCCGGCACTCCACGGACTTAGAAGTAAAACCGGACCCCGGACGAAACCTGGCCCTTTTTGCGGTTTTTAATAGGGTTAACGGTGGGCGGGTGCGCCCGGCGGAGCGGCCGCTGGCCGGTTTGCATTCTTAACGTTGGGAGTTGTTCAGACAAGAATATCCACATATTCTCAAAATCAAAACACTTGAAAGGGAACTCATGGTGCCTTTTCCTTTTTTTCTTTTTTTTCAAGACAGAGTCTCACCCTGTTGCCGGGGCTAGAGTGCCGTGGCGTCAGCCTAGCTCACAGCAACCTCAAACTCCTGGGCTCAAGCGATCCTCCTGCCTCAGCCTCCCAAGTAGCTGGGACTACAGGCATGCGCCACCACGCCCGGCTAATTTTTTCTATATATTTTTGGTTGGCCAATTAATTTCTTTTTTTTAAATTTTTTTAGTAGAGACGGGGTCTCACTCTTGCTCAGGCTGGTCTCGAACTCCTGAGCTCAAACGATCCTCCCGCCTCGGCCTCCCAGAGTGCTAGGATTACAAGTGTGAGCGACCACGCCAGGCCCATGGTGCCTTTTCTTTTTTTGTTGTTGTTTGCTTTTGTATTTTTTTATTTTTTTGGTTATATTTTTTTATTATTTTTTTAATTTCACAGCTAACATCACACTGAATCATGGTGCCTTTTCACAAGAAAACATGCTGATGACCCACAAGGGTCAGTCCGATGGCCTTGGGGTGGAGGTCTGGCCTGCGATCTGTCCTGAGGAAGCCAGCGGAGGGAGGTCTGCCTCCCGCCCGTGGCTGCGACCCCCGCTCTTCGCCGCGCCCTTCCCTCCCTGCGCCCATGGCCTGCAGACGTGCCCCGCTGCGCCCCGGCCACACGCGGACGCACCCACCCCGCGCCGCACCGGTCTCGGCCCAGGCGTCTGCGCGGGGGCCTTCAGCGCCCCGCGCCCAGGGTGCTCACTGCCGCGTCCTCGCCCACGGACGCTAGGCCGCACAAGGGACTGTCACCCGGAGAGGTCCCAAACCAGCCTCCTTCTTGGGGGGATTTGCGTCGACTCCTCAACGCCCCCAGGCAAAGACTCTCCATGTTGGGTCCGGAGGGAGAGAGCGACGCCGATGGGGGGCTGCCTGGGGTTTCCCAGGGTCTGCACCTCGGCCGCAGTCAGACCAGGAAAGGAACTTCCCGTCCGCCAGCTGGCACGAAGCCCCACGAAGCCGCAGCAAGCCGGGCGCAGGCGGCGCAGCAGGTGGTTTACGGGAAGCGCTGCCCGCGCTCTCAGGGAGGAGACACCGGCCCGCCCCGAGAGCGAGCGCCCTGGCGGGAACCCCCCCTCCCCCCCAGCAGACTCCCGCGCACCGCTGACGCCTCTCCTGGAGCTTCGAAAGTGTCACTTTATTCTGCGCAAAGAAGGGCGGCGGGGAAGCGCGCGCGGCCAAGCGGCACCTCGGGGGTCCGCTGGCGGAGGGCCGCGCTAGATGTAGGTGGAATCCGCCCCGGGCTCGTCGTGGGGACTCCCGCCCCGGCCCGAGTCCGCCTCCGCGTTCTCGTCCCCGCTGCCCTCGTTGCCCGAGTCGCCGGCGCCGTCCGCGTCCGCGCTGGGCACGTTGAGGACGACCACGTCCGCCTCGGCCCCGATGTCCTCGCCGAACCACACGGCCTTGTAGCCGCCTTCTGGCCGCCGATCCTTGGTCAGGATGGATCTCACGGCGGTGGGGCTTCCCCCAGCCGGGACCGCAGGCGACTCGGGGACAGGGCTGCGGGGTGCGGGGCTGGGGGGCGCGGGGGGCGCCGGAGTTTCGAGGGGCGCGGGTTCCGTGGCGGCGGCGGCCGGTGCCTCCGCGGTCTTGCCGCCCTGCTCAGGGCTGGGGGCGGGTGCCCAGTTGGCCTCGTCGCCATCAAGGAAGGCCTGGTTGTCATAGCCGGAGGGCTGGGGATCCTGGGCAGGGGGAGGGAAGCGAGGGTGTGGGCCGACCCCCCAGGCCTGGGCTGTGACTCCCCACAGGCGCCTCCCCATCTTTCTGACCCTGGGTCTCTCCATCCATCTGCCCCACGCAGAGCTTTCCGAGGCACTGACTGGCTGGGTCCTGGCACCCTGTCCCCACCTGTCCACACGTGTTCCTCTCTTTCCCCCTTCTCTCCCACCCTGGCCTCCCAGCGCCCCAAGAGCCTCACCGGAGCGGAGCGGGAGCAGCACTTGAGCCGCTGGCCGTAGTGCTTACGGGCCAGGACCGCCAGGCCTAACAGGGCCAGCAGCAGCAGCACGCCTAGCACCCCGCCCAGAGTGGCCATGTCCGCCACTGAGAACCGCTTGTCCTCCTCAGCCAGACCACCGTCCGGCACTCCTGCCGAAAACACCAACGCCCACTCACGGCTAGGACGGCCCAGGCAGCTCCCACACCAACTGTGCCAGGCTCAGGACTCCCCGGGATCCTCCCAGGCCTGGGCCACCTCCCAAAGCTGAGGTTCCGGGGTGAGGGCTCTACCCACGCCCCCACTAGGAGGGAGCTGTGGGTCCCCGAGAGACCCTGTGTGACCCGGGGCAGGCCAGGCTGCTGAAGGGCAGGGCAGGGGTGAGGCAGGTGCTGCCAGCTCCGGGCGGGAGGCAGGCGTGCCCCGTAGGGGGAAGGGCCGTGAGGGCAGCACTGGGGGCGTGGGGCACGTGGCCCTGGGAATTGTGGGGCTCACTGGCCCCAGATCTGGTCTTTGCCCATCTTCCACGCATCATCCCCGCTTGCCTCACTGGGCCCCCGGGCCTGTGTCTGTCAGCCCAGGACGCACCCCTCCTTGGGATTGCATGGGGTGAAATCCATCCACCGGGGTGGACCCTGCCCTATAGCATTTCCTGGGACCACCCAGAGCCCTGAGGAGGGAGGGGACAGGCACATGGTAGGCACAGGGGTTGGGGTGGTACCTGAGGGCAGGGGGCTCCTGCTGGGTCCCGGGGGCGTCGGCTGAGCAGTCCCAGGCTTTGGGGTTTGTGCTGAGCCCCCGCCGGGTGTGGCTGGTTGGGGGGTGGTGCCATTTCCCGCATTGGGGGGTGTCGGCTGAGCCGTCCCAGGCTTTGGGGTTTGTGCTGAGCCCCCACTGGGTGTGGCTGGTTGGGGGGTGGTGCCATTTCCCACATTGGGGGGCGTCGGCTGAGCTGTCCCGGGCTTTGGGGTTTGTGCCGAGCCCCCACCAGGTGTGGCTGGTTGGGGAGTGGTGCCATTTCCCACATTGGGGGGTGTCGGCTGAGCCGTCCCAGGCTTTGGGGTTTGTGCTGAGCCCCCACCGGGTGTGGCTGGTTGGGGGGAGGTGCTGTTTCCCGGACTGGGGGGCCCCTCAGGTGTGGGTGAGGCAGGTGGCCCCAGAGTGGTGCCTGAGGGTGGGCGAGGGCCCGTGCCCCCCCCAGGGCTGGTTGAGGAGGGTCCCTGAGAGGGCCCAGGGGGCCTGGGGACTTCCACAGTGGTACTGTTCGAGGGCTCAGTTGTTCCTCCAGCCCCCGGGGGACCTGGGGGGCCAAGGAGAGCGCTTGGGCTTGCCTCTGCCCCCCTGGCATGCCCGTCCCGGGGAGGCAGCCACCCTGCCTGGGGGGACCCCGGATTTCCCCTGGAGGCTCACCTGTGGAGGGGGGCTCCTGTTCGGAGACTCGTATTTCCACAACTGTGGTGGCTGTGCCGGAGGTCACCGTGTTCTCGGCCATCACCTGGGGTGGGACAGGGGCCTGTCCCTGCTGGGCCCTCTTTAACAGCCAGGGGCCCACACCCTTGGAGACGGCCACCTGCCCTGCCCTTCACCTGTGCATAGAAGACCCCCGGCTGTTCCATCGAGGTGTTGGTCAGCAGCAGCTCTCCCTCCATCCGGAAGCCAGAGTGGTTGGTGACTCGGTACGTGATGGCCGAGTTGAGGTCCTGGGACAGGTCCGGTGAGTCCTGGGCGCAGGCTAAGGCCCATCCCAGACCCACCCACACAGACGGCAGGCAGGGCAGACCCAGGGCCCAGGCGGGTCCCCCTTGGGTCCCCAGGCAGGCCGCAGGGGCAGCGCCCGGCTGTGCCGCTCACCGGGAAGTCGGGGTCCTTAGCCTGGATCCTCAGGGGCTGAGTGAGGGCGGCCGCGTCCTGCACAGCAACCCCCGCTGGGGAGCCTGGCACCAGGGTGCCGCGGTACAGGCTCTGGGGGAAGCTGGGGACGCTCCCGGTGGAAGCAAGGGCCTCCACGGTGACCTGGGTCAAGGAGTAGCGCGTGCGGTCCGCCTGCTCCGCCTGGGGGGTGGGGGGGCAGCGACAGACAGGAGGGTGCTGAGGGCTGAGCCCCGCGCCGTGCCAGGCTCAGGAAGGGCCGCCCGCCGCCCTGGGACCCACCTTCACCACCAAGAGGAAGGTTGTCGGGCTGGGCACGCTCTGGGCCATGGTGAGGTTGCCCGAGTCCGGGTCGAGGGTGAATGTGGCATTCACATTTCCTGGGAGGATGGTGGCGTTTGGCCCCGGTCCCCACATCCCAGCTGCCTCTGCCCAAGGTGGGAACAGGGAGGGGTTGGGCTGGGGCTGGGGCTGGGGCCGGTCTGCGCTCACCGCTCAGGATGCTATAGATGATGCGCTGGTTGATGGCCCGGTCCCCGTCCACTGCGTAGATGGGCCCGGGACGCAGGACAAGCGGGGACGGCTGTGGAGGGTGAAGGGAGCAGCACCGTGGGGCTGCCGCGGATGGCCCCGCCCAGGTCCTCCTGCGCCCCTCCTGGTCAGCAGGGACGCGGCCTCCAGGGCCGGGGCATGGGTGTCTGTCCCTGCCTGCCAGGCCAGTCCTGTTGTCCCAGCCCGATGGTCAGTGACGCCCCCAGGGCTCCCCTCCCTAATGAGGCAGGTTGCACACAGACATTCTGATCGGTTTAAAGTACCTTTGTCTTTTTTTTTTTTTTTTTTTTGAGACAGAGTCTCATTCTGTTGCCCAGGGTTAGAGTGCCATAGCGTCAGCCTAGCTCACTGCAACCTCAAACTCCTGGGCTCAAGCGATCCTCCTGCCTCAGCCTCCCCAGTAGCTGGGACTACAGGCATGTGCCACCGTGCCTGGCTAATTTTTTTCTATATCTATTTTTAGTTGCCCAATTAATTTCTTTCTATTTTTAGTAGAGACGGGGGTCTCGCTCTTGCTCAGGCTGGTTTCCAACTCCTGACCTTGAACGATCCTCCCGCCTCGGCCTCCCAGGGTGCTGGGATGACAGGCGTGAGCCACCGTGCCCGGCCAACTACACTTGTCTTGACAGACGAGCAAACATTCAGGAAGGGGGATTTGCAGGGAGGCCTGGGTCTCCCCTGTCATGCACCACGGGGGCTTGGTGCCCTGAGGGTTTGCAGGCGGCCGTCAGCTGGGCAGAGCCATAGCCGTGTCTTGGGAGCACCAGTGTCACCAGCCTGGCTCTGCCCCAGAGACAGCGGGGCCCCTGACCCTCACTGTGTGTGTCCCTCTCACCCCCGGGCAGCTTGGAAGGGTTTGTTCACCAGGAATGTTTACATCGACCAAACTCGGAGACAGAGCTCCAACCGAGGACCCTGGCCCCGACCCTGAGCCTGTGTCTGCAGCTCTGGACTGGCCCCGACCCTCTCCTGGCCCTGGGCCACCCCTGCGTCACCCCCGTTACCAGCTTCTGTCTCGTGGGCACAGCCCCGTGGTACTGGGCCTGGAGGCAGACGTAGCCATCGGAGTAGGTGCAGGGCAGGAACCAGGGGGGCCGCAGGTCGGCCGGCAGCACCGTCAGCACCAGGGTGGCGGTGGCCGTGTGGCTGGGCTCCACGTTCTCCTCCGCTGTGTCCTGGAACAGCCCGCCCCGCCCGCTCAGGCCTGGGAGCAGCTTGAGGACGCGGGGCGGGGGCACCGAGGGCCCAGGACTCGGGGCACGGCGAGCTGCTCACCCGCGCCAGCAGCCGGAAGGTTGCGTTTGGCCACTTGTAGACGTCCAGGGACCGGTCCAGTCTCAGCGCGGGGCGGTTCACGCCCTCCAGAGAGAAGAGGTCGCCGGCGCCCTGCGGAGGGTGGGGGAGGGGACTCGCTGAGTCCCTGGGAGGAGGCCGGGGGCCAGTGCTGGGGAGGGAGGGGCGGCACCCACCGGGGTCACTTCCTGGAGGGTGTAGAACAAGGTGTCATCTTTGTCTGCATCCTTGGCCTCCAGTTCGGACTCAGGGATGACGGTGGAGTTCACTTTGGTGTCCTGGGGGCGGGAAGGGGCTTGGTCCAGGCACGGTGCCTAGCCCCGGGGACCCTCTCGGAGGCCGCCCGCCCCCCCTGCAGGCTCCACGCTCACCTCCTCCACGGACACCTCCTTGGTTGTGAAGGGAAACACGGGGGCGTTGTCGTTGACGTCCAGCACAGACACGAACACCCACAGCTGGGTCACCTGGGGAGAAGGGGTCACCAGCCGTTCCCCGCCGTCCCCCGCCCAGCCAGGCATCCACTGGCTCACTCGGCAGGTGGGGGAGGGCCTGCCCTGCAGTGCACAGCTCTAGGGGCTGCACCCAGCAGCCAGGAGGGACGGCCCCTGCCCGTGGGCGCCCGCGCCAGCATCCACAAGAAGTCATTTATAGATGACTCCAGGGAAAGACGACCCAGGTACTTAGTGGTGCAACCAGCGAGATCGCCAGTGAGAAAAACTGCAAAACAACTGAGTTTCTTAAAAAATAAGTCTCCAGGCCGGGCGCGGTGGCTCACACCTGTAATCCTAGCTCTCTGGGAGGCTGAGGCAGGTGGATTGCTCGAGGTC